TTTTTTTTTGTGTCTGTTACCACTTTTTCTCAGCTCTCACCGAACGGATTTCTTTCAACGATACGTCAAAAGATCACAAATCGTATCTAGTCGAAGACATTACCCTTCAAAATTGAAAAAAAATCCATTGTTCCCCGTAAATGGGGGAAACCTCCAAAAAAATTACAAATTTAAAAATCGCTAATTTTCGAAATTTTTTCAATTTTTTTTACTAAAAACTGCCGTAACTTTTTCAAAAATGAACATATCAATATAATTTTTTTTTATATAGATGCTTGATGTCTTTACCTATCATTTGGTATATTTTTTTTGTAAATTTGACCTTTTTTCTGCCCACAGGGGGGGATTTAAAATGACAACTTTTTCACAAAAAATTAACTTTTTCAACTTAACTTTTGAAAATGTTCCGGAAGGTCTGACACTTTTATATATATCTTAAATTAAAGCTAATGTAATATACTTTAATTTGAAAAAAAAAAATTTGACCTCTGGACTTGTCTTCACGGCGAAAATGGCTACCGAATGCTATTTTCGTGTGAAAATTCTCGATTTTATTATTTATATTATATTTAACTTTATAATGCTATAACTTATTGAAAAGTTTATGGATCCACACAATTTTTTTATGAGAAATAATATTTTTTAATAAACCCTTTTTCATTCGACATACTTTATCTTAATCGAGATATTAATAAGGAACCAGCAGATCAAGTAGCTTTTGGAATAAAACACCAATTTTTTTAAAATTAAACACTATCTAAAGATTTGCATCGAAGCGTTTTATTTTGATAGTGATTTTAATCACTGTCAGATATCATTATACTTGATCCAACTATGCCACGTCACCACTGTGCCGCGACCCCCCTGTGCTGGGTTTTTTTTTTAAATGGCAACATACAAATTTAGCTAGCAAATAAAATGAAAATGATCTAATTAAGAAAATGACCATCTGAAAACAATTTTTGAAATAGTAATTCAAAAGTTAATAACTTTTTTAAATATCAAGTGGAGGAAGAGCATAGCAGAGTAATTCTTAATTATAAAAATAAAATAACTACTATAATAAAATAACTTCACCTTCACTTAATATTTAAATATATTAATAACTTCTGGAGTACTACTTCAAAAATTGTCTTCGATTAGTCATTTTCATAATTAGATAATTAATTAATTTATAAGCTAGTTAATTCCGTATATTGCCATTATAACATAAAATTGACGCACTTATATGGTTTGAATAAAAGGATTAATTAAAAAAATTATTATAATTAATAAATCAAGAAATATATGAAACTAAACACCAATAATGATTATCTTAACTTTATTGACGAGGAATATTTTTTTAATTTTTGTGAGCAATTTCTTCAATTAAATACTATTTGTGATCTTTTGACGTATCATTGAAAAATATTAGTTCAGTGAAAGCTAAGAAAAAGTAGCAACAGTCATAAAAAAAACAATGTAGTAAAGTTAGTAACTTCTCAGTTTGCATCATAGCTAAAAAATTTAAAAACCCATCACACTAAAAATTTAATTATAAAAGAAATTGCTAAAATTATAGATAAGTATTTAAAATATTATCATTAATGTATACCTATTTCATTATCCTCGCCATAATTTGCAATTAAATTCAATGGATTTTGTGAATTTTTATTTTCAATGTTTTGTGAAACTAGTATTGATTCATCATTTAAGTTAGAAATAGGATTTAAAATATTATTTGTCTGTATATTAGTTAATTCTGAATCTATTGAAATAGATTTATTCTCAGAACTTAAGACCTTTTCTTTATAATCTGGAGGAACTTCACTTTTTAAAATTTCAAATATATCACTAGGTGAATTCTTTTTAGATGGATCTAGTGTATCAGCTTTATCATTCAAATAATCAGGAGGTACTTCTTTTTCAATAACATGTAATATATCAGTAGTATTGTGTGATTCAGTCTTATTTTTAGATTCGTTAATGGAATTATTTTTTATTTCATTTTGTTTGAACATTTCTGCTTCCTGCTGTAATCTCTCTAATATTGATGATTTTTGTACTTCGTCATCTTTATCATCACCATCATCATCATCACTAGTATCACTTCCATATGCAACTAATGCACTAATTGTTTTAGATTCAGTTTTAGACTTTTTTGAGTTAATAATATTAAGAGAAGAAATTTCATCGCTAGATAATCGCTTTCTAGTAATTAATTCATCTATAATATTACAATTTTACTATAATAGATCTACTTATAAGTTTATTTAGACATGAAATGAAAATTGATTACCATTTTTTGATAAAATCCCTTCATTTACACCACAATGAGCGGTGTAATGTTCTGGTTTTTCCCAAGTTACTTTATTTGTTTTCATATTCCAATAATATATAAAACCAGATACTTCATCATAACATTCCTGCCATACTAAAAACGTTAAAAATACTTTAATTTTATATTTTATCAACATCTTTTCTTTTATATAATATATAATTTTATACATAGATATATGCTTTTATTGATAATAAGTATTAAATATTTAATAAAAATAAAATAGTGTCTATATTTATTAAATTTAGGATTATTAATAAATACAATTTTTGTAATTTTTTATATACATTTCATGATAAGTTAACTAAATTTTAAATAAAAAAATATGTACTTACTCTGATCAGAATTATCTTGGTTTATATTAATTAATTGGTCATTAATATTATGTCTATACAGTTCAATTCCAATTGAGTCTAGAAACAAAATGATATCTAATTTTTATGTTAAGTACACAATGCAATAAGTTACATTTTAAAAGAAAAATATTTATAGTTTGTATAAAACATATTTATACTAAAATTTTATATATTTTCAGATTCAAGCTAATATTGATTTACAATTCATATATATTATCTAATATATAGGGACGGTGTGGTCGAGTCAGTAACGCAGCAGTGTTTGAAGCACACTGCCTCGGGTTTGAAACTCGGTCACAGGCGGCTTCATTCACCGAATGAGTGATCAGTTTGGTAATTGAAGTCACCATCCCTCTATCCAGCAACGGACTAATTAACTGTCCTAGAGTTTAAATGACTAAAAGAAACCTCCTTTTTTGGGAGAGGCCGCTATGGCCCTTAATGGGCTGATAAAGCAATAAAAAAAATATATATTATCTAATATAAAAATATAATCAATAGACACAATTAATCTTTTATTTTACTACCAATTGATTAATTAAACTCAGTGAAAAAAAATGTATCACGGGGAAATAAAAATAAATAGGTATTTTAAAATGATAAACTGTATAATAAATATTGAGTTAATAACTATATCATATATTATTCAATAAAGGAGGATTATTAAAATGTTAATTAAATTAAAAATTTAATTGAATGGAGAACATTATAATTATTAGGCAAAGCAATTTTTAGCAGTAATTTTATATTTATTAAATTAAACTCACCATAATAATAAAATCATTTAATATTACCTTTTTCAGAAGACTGAGTCATATCCAATTTCAATTTTCTCTTGTTCATTATAAAAATTATTTTTACAAACTATCTTGAGGATGCAATATTTTAATTGATTATGACTATTATATAAACAATAACATTTAAATACTGAACTACTTAGTACATTTTATAGTAAAATTTAAGTCGAGAAAAATGTTTTGAGTACATTTGATAGTTATTAAAATTTCATGATATCCATTAAGCTTTGGTTCATAAATATTAACATATATTGAAAATGAAAAAGGTACTATTCTATAATTAAAAAGTTACAAATTATTTTATTTTAAAATAACTTAATAACTAATTATAAATTACATTAACATAATACGTAATAATATTATAAAAAATTGTTCTGCTATCAATTGCTTATCTGATAAAGATCAAGCTTGCATTGATGCAATGAAAAATGAAATGTATATATTTTATATTTCAGAATAATGGGGAATATCAATTATTTTTAAACGCGAACAAAACTTTTGACAAAAAATTATTTTTTAAGTAACGTTGAATAGAAGATTTACTTCTATGATAAACATTAATAAAATTTATTAATTTTTTTTATTAAATTATACAGATAAACAAAAATCAAGTGTTGTAAAAGTTTAGATAAAATTGTGCTAATACAATGAATTATATTTCATTCTAAGAAAATAATTCTTATAATTTGAATAGAAGAGGATTTACATTTTTTTTTATTACCTGCTAAAATGGGGTTACGGAGATTGCCACGAACTGATAATGCTCCGACATTCATATACTCCGACACTGTAAAAAAATCCTCCGAATACATTTACTCCGACAACAATTACTACGAATACCTGATTACAAAAATTTGGATTTTACTACGACGATGAATACTCCGAATAGGACTATTAATTGATTACTCCGAATGAAATTTGATCCGAATATCGATTATTCGCGAAGAAATCGATTAAAAAATTATGAAATTTTGGATTAAATGAGTATCGTAGCAATATATTATCTGATGGAAAAATATAACCCTAATCACTAATTAATATAATAAAATATCGTTATAATTGATTACTGTCTATTAACGAATAATTATTACAATAAAGGTCCTCGAAATGTATCCGACTTTTGATAAAATAGGTACATAAAGGTAAGGAAGGGGGCTTTGAACTAGAACAACCCCAGTTATATAACTGGTGTGAGCCCTTAAATTTTTTTTTTTTTGGAGGGGATAGAAGAACGATTCCAATTTCCGGACGTAAAATCTTTTTTGCCTCTCCTTATTAGTGCCTATTATTATAACATTTCATTAGTTTAGTTAAAAAATATAGGGGTACGTGTCACTGATAATAGGATTATACCATAAGAAATCTTAAGATATCATTAACTGACATTTATGAAGACACATATTCTAACTACTAAAAACACCATGATTATAATTATTTTACAATATTATCATAATAATTAAATTTATCTATTTTTTATTTTCGAACTAAAATAATGAATTANATTATCATAATAATTTTATTTATTTATTTTTTATTTTCCAACTAAAATAATGAATTGAATATTTATAACCGTGTCTAATAATTATATTGAATTATAATATATTACATATACAATGATATACAAAAAAAATTACAAAAATGTGGTTTGAAAACAACAAAAAACTATCATTAAATTATTTGATTTTTACTGATTTTCTAATGCTAAATTTTACATGTTACACATTTTTCTAAAACTTCAAATTTTTATGGTGTATAAAACAGATTTATATCTACAAAACTAAAATAAAAATTTTTGAAAATTAGGTCCCCCAACAGATTATTGCACTTAGAATACACGTATTTTTATAAAATTTCTAACTTTGTAGGCCTCTAAATCCCAAGATAATTGTTTTAAATATTTGAAATTTAGTTGAAACATAGATTATACACTATACAATACCACATGTAAAAATCACAATAAAATAATAACTTCTTAATGATTTTAAATGAGCTCAAAAACGCCAATTTTCACAAAAAAAAAGCGCCATTTTTTGAAAGTCATTAAAGTTAGGAATTTCACATTAATTTTTTTTTTTTTTTAATGGAAACTTTAAGTTATAATAGGGTCAAATCTAAAATTTTAATTCGATTGAGTTGAAATGGAATAATCTGTGTGTTTTTTTAACGATCTAGCTATTTTTAACTTTTTTTACATTGAAATAGCCATAAAAATGGGAAGATCATAAAAAAAAAAAAAAAAATTGTTTTAATCTAAATATAGCATAATGAATAAACCCTGAAAATTTCAGAAAAATATGAGGTGGTCGTGCAACCACTTCTGGATGATTTGGCATAGATTGACCCTTAAATGTTACCGATTCGGCAACTGTTCGTTGCTCTCGTTGCATGATAAAATTGACTATTTAAGCTAACTCAAATTTAAAAAATTAATTTTTGACTTTAAAAAAGTAAAAAAATTTTAATAAGTTTAATTTCTTATGTATTATGAACTTTATTCTATGTCAATTAAATTATTTAATATTCATAAAAGTTAGTGTATTCCCCTAATAAGATATTTTAAAATAAAATAAAATACAAAACCCAGAATTTTAATTCAAAAATAGCATATTTTTGAATACGGTAGCCATTTACACCTACACCCAAAGAAAAACCTCAATCAAAATTGAAAGAGAAATTTTATCAAGGGTTTATGATAATGTTTTATTAATACGAACAAAATAACTATTCTTATAAATAATTATTGTTCAAGACAAGAAAAAAAAATATCATATTGATAAATATATCATTGATTCAATAGTTATGATATATTCATCAAATTGAACAATGAATTTATTATATAGATCGACGTTTTTTTCTGGGTGTAGCTAGGGATCCGCCCCAGACCTGGGACTACAAGCCACACGCGCCTTCGCCCTTTTGAGCCATCCTCGTAAGTAGGCCACTGATTCTGGTAAGAGTACTCGGCTATGTCAGGTACGATAAGTGTTTTGCAGAAATTGTAGTTATGTTTGTATGGAAGTTTAATTTCTTTAAATATTTTTAATAAATAAAATAATTAACATTTTTATTATAATTGTATGGCATTAAAAAAAAATATTTTTGAGGTATTTTTTTGTTCTTTTAAACAAAAATTATGGATTAAAAACTTATGATTTACAATTCTAGAGCTCAATTTTTTTAACTATTAACCGCCTTAATCCTAATTTACCATAAATAAAAATTACTATTCCCTAAAATTTTAAAAAACGTAGTTTTAATTCCATATAACTATGCCAAAGTTCAGGTCATTTTAATAATTAATCAAGTTGATTATAAAAAATAATTAAATTTTTCCCAATAAATTTTATAAATGACATTCTGGCTTAGAAGTTTTAGGAATGATTGCTCTCGGACCGTTGTGTTAAGTTGGAGACATTATTCCTCGTGTTTTTCCTAACGATAACGCATCCGGGGCCACAGATTCCGGGTCGACATTGGTAATACTCAGATGGAACAGATCTAATTGAAACACTGGCGTACGCAATGGGGGAGGGTTGAAACCCTCCCCCAAAATTTATAAGCTAAGCGACAATTTTGGACAATAAACAATAAGTAATAACAATAAAAAAGATCATATCATACTATAAATTTATCCACAATAAAGTAATCGAAAACAGGAATTTTTGTGAGCGAACAATATGAGCAGTGTCACATCTAATTTTCTTTAAATTTTAAACCTTCCCCCAAATTTAATATCTGTGTACGCCACTGAACTGACAACTCTTAAAAGTTTTAATTCAATAATCATTTCGTCATTATTTATTCAACAATTTTTACACTCTTAGACTACGTTAAAAGCAATTTTTTTAATACTTACTTATAGTAATATAAAAGAAATAAAAAACCCAGCACAGTGGGGTCACGGCACAGTGAAGACGTGGCATAGTTGGATCACGTATAATGATATCTGACAGTGATTAAAATCACTATAAAATAAATATAGTTTAAAAAAACTAAAAAAACACGCTTTTTTAGTTTTTTTAAACTATATTTATTTTTCACTTTTTAGTTTTATGTTATGATAGTAGTTACTATCAATATCATGGTTATAACGGGTAACGGTAAATCAGGGTTCGATTCCGGGGAGGGAGTCTGAGAAACGGCTCCCACATCCAAGGAAAGCAGCAGGCGTGTAAATTACCCACTCCCGGAACATGGAGGTAGTGACAAAAAATGACGATACTGAATTCATCCTTTGTAATCGGAATGAATGAGTTCTCTAAATAAGAATAAAGTGTGTTATTATATATTTTTAATAGTTATTAGAATATATATATATATACATGTAAAGCGACTTAAGTACGTAAACGTATCATGCATTAGGTATAGCCGTGTTTTGTGGGCGGGCGGGTCGGACTAACGTTAAACCTGAGGTATAAACGGCGGTAGGAATATATACATAAGCCGTATGGTACGCGGATGGTATTGGTCAGTCAAAATAAAAATTTGTTTATATATATATATAATATTGATGACAAGCAGTCGTGTACGGGTACGATAACCAAAAATAAATGTATACAGGAATAGTATTGCCGGTGTGTGATGAGCGAGGCGTGGGGTGGGGTGAATGCGTTATGACAGTCTAGTCTAGACTCTAGACTACGGAATATGCGATAACGCGTGGCGTTTGAAGAGTTACAAACATACATACATACATACATACATACATACATACATACATATATACATACATACATACATACATACATACATACATACATACATACATATATACATACATACATACATACATACATACATACATACATACATACATACATACATACATACATACATACATACATACATACATACATACATACATACATACATACATACATACATACATACATACATACATACATACATACATACATACATACATACATACATACATACATACATACATACATACATACATACATACATACATACATACATACATACATACATACATACATACATACATACATACATACATACATACATACATACATACATACATACATACATACATACATACATACATACATACATACATACATACATACATACATACATACATACATACATACATACATACATACATACATACATACATACATACATACATACATACATACATACATACATACATACATACATACATACATACATACATACATACATACATACATACATACATACATACATACATACATACATACATACATACATACATACATACATACATACATACATACATACATACATACATACATACATACATACATACATACATACATACATACATACATACATACATACATACATACATACATACATACATACATACATACATACATACATACATACATACATACATACATACATNCGTTTGGAGAGTTACAAACTTACATACAAACAACATACAAACAACATACAACATACATGTGAAACTAATAAAAGCGTATTAAAAACGCTTCGATGCAAATGTTTAGATATTGTTTAATTTTAAAATTGGTGGATTATTCCAAAAGCTACATGATCTGCTATTTCCTTATTAATATCCTTATTAAGATAAAGTATGTCGAATAAAAAAAGGATTGTTAACAAATATTATTTCTCATAAAAAAATTGTGTTGATCTATACACTTTTCAATAAGTTATAGTATTATAAAATTAAAAATGTAAAAAATAAAAACGAGAATTTTCACACAGAAATAGCATTCGGTAGTTATTTTCACCGTGAAGACAAAATAAAGTTTAAAATTTTGTTTTTCCATAACAAAGTACATTACATTAGCTTTAATTTAAGACATATATATAAAAGTGTCAGACTTTCCGGAACACTTTTAAAAGTTAATTTTTTGTGAGAAAGTTGTCATTTTAATTCCCCCCTGTAGGCTGGTAAAAGTCAGATTTATGAAAAAAATTTATCAAATGATAGGTAAAGACATCATGCATTTATAAAAATATTTATGTTGATTTGGTCATTTTTAAAAAAGTTATGACAGTTTTAAGTAAAAAAAGTGAAAAAAATTACAAAATTTACCGATTTTTCAATTTGTAATTTTTTTGGATATCTCCCCCATTTACGGGGAACGAGGGAAATTTTTTCAATTTTTGAAGGTAATGTTTTCAAATAGATATAATTTGTGATCTTTTGACGTATTGTTGAAAGAAATCGGTCCAGTAAGAGATGAGAAAAAGTGGCAACAGACATAAAAAAAAAACACATCATGGTAAAACCAATACCTTATATAAAATAATAATGATAATAATGATATAAAATTTATATCATTATTCTCTATAAGTCTAAATTTTCCGTCCAGTCTGGTCCTACGGCATACAACTATGGGGCATAACCAAACCTTCAAACACCAAAACTATCCAGGCGTTCCAGTCAATTTGTTTGCGCCTAATAACCTCTGCCCCTAGGTATGTCACAAATAAAAACTTAAATAAAGACTTAAACATACCAACAATTAACCAACTAGCAAAATCCCTCTATTCAAATTTCCATTCAAATCTAAGTACTCATTTTAACCTATTTTAATCCAAGGAGATCAAAAAGAAGGTGGCCTAGAGATCTTCTTCAACAACTAATAAGAAAATTTTTTTTTATATTAGTTAACTAACCTTCCTAGTCGTGTGACACTGCTGAGTGTCTTCACATAAACGTCAATTTCATTGTCATGAATATAATAGCTGTCATCAAATTGGCATAATGTACTTATTGTATAGATTGTAAATAAATTTTCTGTAAAATAAAAAAGAAAAGTCTAAATTTAAATATTACTAAAAAAAATGACAAAATAAAAATTTAAACGTTAACTGGACAACAAGTCACTTATATTTAACTGTATTACTTTGGAAAAAATTCAATGTTAATCATTGAAATTCTTGGCCCCTCAATAAAAAAATAATTACGGTGTCTTAAGGATCATGCCGAAACGTCAGGGGATTATGGAGGATATAAACCCTCAATTGGCAAAATTTAGTAGTTTCAGTCGGAAATTATTGATCATAAGACATTGCACACACATACAAAAATTTATTCAGACGATATATATAATTCCCCTTTCCACATTTTTAGTTTTGGGACGGCCTACCTGTAAGTCAGTAGGTACGTCACTATATAGCGTCATAATTGTTCTTAAATTTATTTTTGTAATAACATTACATTAATCACTTAAGTCTTATCAAACATTTCATAACACGAACATTTACTCTCTTATCATGAGATTTCCAGCTTATGAATGAATTTTTTTGTGGATGCTTATAGACGTTAAGAAATATAAAGTTCTTTTAATTTAAACTTCCTAATTCTATTTTTGAATAAAGACTCTCCATGAAATGATTTGAATAACACATTTAGTTATCAGTATTGTATGTTATTTAGCAATCCACGTTTTATCAATTTACGTGTTTTATCATATACTATGTGATCATCATCGTTAAATTATTTACGTTAAAAAAAAACTAATTTTTAATGTTTTACGATTCATGAAAACCCAATTAAATAATTATTTTTGTGTTATCTTTTATAAATAACAAAAACTAATAAATTTCAAATTTATTTAATTATTATTTTAATTGGAAACATTTATGGAAAGGTAATATGCATTTTTATTAATTATTCATGTCACTTAATGACTCACTATTGAATTAAGTAGTTATTATACACTTCATGTTATTTATAATTTTTTTAAATTTATTCTATTCGTCAGGTAAAATACTGAAATAAATCGGTCATTTGATTTGTTTCGTTCTATTGTTAACACGTAAGTATTATTTCTAGTTATATTATATATTTTTTAAACTTATTTATATGCATATAATAAACTACATACATAAAAAACGTATGCCTTATATTTGTGCATAGTATTTTCATATGAAGGGTTTATTAAGGGATAATTTAATTTTTTTATAAATTATAATTATACTTATGGTATTTATTAGATAGATTATTTTTTATTAAATTTTTAATGCTATCAATTTTTTTAAGACACTTAATATATAAACAGTGAAGAATTTATAAGCTTATAAAATAAAAATATAACATTACTAGTTATACATAACCTATATAATAAAAATTGATCACTTATAGCAAATATTATTTAATATTACATTATGTAGTATGCATTTAGCACTGATGATGGTAACATTGTTCCCAAAATATTTTTATACAATTTTTAGTTTTAAATTAATATTTTATATATATTTTGAATTTTAAATATACATAACCTATAAACTTAAAAGTATTAATGTTTTCAATTTTATAAATTAAGTTTTTAAAAATCATTTATTATTTTATTTTTAATTAAATTAAGTCAAGGATAAAATAAATATTGCATAATCTTATCAAAACATTGTGTTGAACAGGCTACTTAAAAATTATTTGTTTAATAATCATTGAGTAGGAAAACTGATAAGAGTTATTTTATACTTAACTAACAATTAAAAGTATTTTATACATAATGACTATAGTATTTTATTTTGTTCCAGTACTCCTGATTATGTGACGACCTTAGACCTTGTAATTATGTTTTCAGTATCTGACTATAAGTTTGAAATAACTAGCACTATTACAATCATGCTTATCATAATCATGTACACATCTTGTCATGTGTTTCGTTATTACACCAAGTATGCAATATTTTCAGTATTGTCATTTATATCGGCTACTGTTTTCATACCTCTAATGATATGGCGACCAAGAGATTACCGAAATGGGTTGTAAGTTTTAAAAAAAAAAGCTTATTTGAATAAATTATGTTTAATTCTTGTAAAAATTATCAGATTGCCAGCATGGGGTGGTCGTCAAATATCAAAAATTTTAGGTCTCACGTGGGAATTTAGAGGAAAAGAAAATATTGTAAAGGATTCTGGTTGTGTGGTTTTAATTAATCACCAAAGTTGTTTAGATTTACTCGGTATTATGAAAATTATTATTATAATTTTTTCTGACAATACAAATATAACTAATATAATATTTTACATTTTCAGTGTTAGCTGAAATATGGCCAGTTATGGATAAATGTACTGTAATATCTAAAAAGGAAATTTTTTATTTTTGGCCTTTTGGCTTAGCATCATGGTTATGGGGTACAATATTTATTGATCGCTTAAATGTTGAAAGCGCTCAAAGTACAATTAATAAAACTGCAGAAACGATACGTCAAAAACAAGTAAATAATTTTTTGTAATTATTTAATTATCATTTAATTGGAAAATATTCCTTTTTTTATAAAATAAAAGAAATATTTTATGTTTGTGATGTGATAATGAGAAGGTATTTTACAATGATATATATTTTTTTCTCAACTGTCTCCACATTTCTTGAGTATCGACTAGAACACTTATATTTAACCACATGTTAAATTATTTCAAATTATATCTAATTAAACCTATCGTCCCCATAAATTGAAAAAATTGTCTTCAATCAAATGAAGGAAACCCCTAAAAGAATTAAAATTGCTAAATTTTGATATATTTTTACACTTTTTGACTCTAAACTGTCAATATTTTTAAAAATGAATAAATTAAATCAAAATATTTTAAATTTTACTTTGGTGTATCCTTTTCATTTGAAAATTTGACCCTTTACCTGTCCACAAGAGGGATTAAAATACCAACTTTTGAACTTAATTTATGAAAATTTTCTGGAAATTCAGTGTTATTTAAATATATGTTAAATTAAAGCTTATGTTATATACTTTGAATTTAAAAATTTAATTTACTGATATATTATTTTCTATTTAAGAATATATTTTAGTTGTTAAAAATAGAATTTAATGTTATAAAATTGAAGTTAAGTTACCAGTAATGATGCTCCTATCTATGGCTAACAATATGTTTTTTATATTCAATATGAAATTTCTTAAAGGTGGAGAATGCATAATTAAATTGAAAAGCTAAATTTAAAAAAACTAAATTGTTTAATGTTATATGTATAATCCAATCAGTTTTTTACTAAAGAAAAATAATTTTTATTTTAAATAGTTTAAACAATTAATAAAGCAAAAGTTTTTTTTTGGAAAGGTGAAAAGTTTTAAGTATTTAGGATCAGTTGTGCAAAAGAGCGGTGGTATTGATGAGCATGTAAGACATAGGATTAAATGTGGGTGGTTGAAGTGTAGAGAAGCATCAGTTGTCTTATGCAATAAAAGAATTCCAATGAGGTTGATAGGTAAATTCTACAAGACTGCAGTGAGACCATCTATGAAGTATGGTTCAGAGTGTTGGGCGGTTGATAAGAAAGTAGAGCAGAAAATGAGTGTGGCAAAGATGAGAATGCTTAGATAGATGAGTGGAGTGACTAGAGAAGATAGAATAAGGAACGAGCATATAAGATAAAGTATAGGTGTAGCGTGAATCGTGGATAAGATGAGAGAAAATAGACTTAGATGGTTTGGTCATGTTATGAGGAGAAAATAATCAGTAGCCGTAAGAACAGTTATAGCAATAAATTCAAGGAAAAATAGGAAGAGGAAGACCAATAAAGAGATGGAGAGATATTATTGAATGCGATATGAAGACAGCTGATGTAAGCGTAGAGGATGTGGGTGATTGTATCAAGTGGGAGTTTAGGATAAGAGTAGCTGACCCCAAGTTGTTGGGATTAAGGCGAGGAAAAAGAAGAAGAAGAATAAAGTAAAAGTGTAATAATGCAATATTGTAATAATATCTACGCCAATGATCTTAAAATTAAGATTTATATTAAATAAAAATTTCAATTTTTTTTAGGCACGATTATGCATGTTTCCCGAAGGTACAAGGCATTGTGGTGATGATCTTTTACCTTTTAAAAAAGGAGCATTTCATGTGGCAATTTCTTCTCAAGTACCAATTCAACCAATTGTTGTATCTCATTATACCTTTTTAGATCACGAAAAACGTATTTTCAATTCAGGTAAATTAAACATAACATTTTAAACCAATAATTTGTACATTTGAGTGCTGTGAAAGCTAATATATCAAATAAATAATTATTTTTAAAAATTAATAATCTCATATTTAAAATAGATCTTTATTAAAGTAATTTTATTAATTAGAACATTGAACAATTCTTTTTTGGTCAAAATAACATTGACATTTTCATCTCTAAAAAAGATAAGATGTATGCTACAAAAATTTTTTTCTGTTTTATCCATATTAATGATATCTATTAATAGAATGATTTTAGAATTTTTTAATTAAATTTTTGAAATCTAATAGAATTTTACATTAAAAACTCATATATTAATAAAATTTACCACTTGTCCACTGAATAAAAACCTATTGAATTAATGAAGTATTTCTGACTAGAAAAACAATTAGCTACTTAAAAAAAATTGTACAAACCCTAAAATTAAAAATTTTTAAAAATACTATAAAAGCCACTAATATTCTAAGCAAAAAATTGCTTATTTAAATTTTGACAACTAGGTAATCATTATTAACACTAAACAAATAATAGAATCCCTCCCAAAATAATATTATATTAACAGAGTAGTCCACAATATTTTGACTAATTTAAGAAATTATTATCTAATAAATATTTTTCTTTACTTTTATTTTTAAATTATTGTACTTTAGGATTATGAAAATATCATTATAATAATATACTTTTAATTTGTGAAAATTAAATAAAATTAAGAATCATTTTTCAGAGTAAATCTTAATAAAAAATATCTTATTGATATAATTAGAAAAATTTCTGTAATAATTTAAAGTTTATCAAAATTCTAATATTCATGTATTTTTTTTTATTAAACATAATTTAATGTATCAATCATTGAAATTTTTATTGAGAAAAGGACAAAAGAAAACATATTCTTTTCACTTAACTATTGGGATTGTTGGTAGGTAACTTTTTATTATAAATTATTATCATTTTAATTACAGTTGCTCAGTCAATCAATAATAATTTTCATAGAAAAATTTTTATTTATTGGCTACCAATAATATGCATTAATATTATATAATAGTAACAAATAATATTATAATTACTATATAATTCTATGTATTTTCTCTTAGAATCTGTTTTAAAAAATGGTTACCTTGAATTTTTTTTTATATTTTCATAGTCCTAATGAATAACAAAAAAATTAATGTAAAATATTCAGTAGATATAGTAGATTCAGTTATAGATTTGTCAAAACATCATAGACCACTATATATACAGAGTGATCCATTATTATAACCCACATTATTACTTATAAAATAAAAATAATTTCGAGGATATCAGTTTTGGCTTTTTTTAGTTACATATATTTCTTGATTTAATAATTATTAAATACTATTTTGGTCCATGTCATATATGTTATAAGAGTGTCAACTAAATTTTTTTAATGGCAAAAAAGATATTTAATTATTTTATTTAGTAGAAAATGGTTTGATTGAGAAAATAACTGGTCAATAACAAAAATGGAACTAGTATTTCAGAAATTATTACCATTTTAATACTTAAGAAAGAAAAGGCTGCAACTGAGAATAATTAATGAAAAAATAGTCATACTTGCCCCTCACTCTTACTCTATATTTTAAAATGGATATAACTTACGAAATAATGATTCAAAAATTATTATTGACTAGTAATTTTCTTAATTAGATCATTTTTTTATTTTTTAAACTAATTAAATATAATTGTTTTCCTTTGAAAAAAAAAAGTTAGCACCCTTATATGACATAAGGGATGAACACAAAAAATACTTCATAGTGAATAAATTGAAAAAAATAAAATAAATTAAAAAAAAGATCAGTACTATTTTTATTTTGTAAGTAATTGAATGGCTTATGATTAAAGAATGAATTTATATGCAATTACACATTTTATTAAGTTATCCAGAATTCATAATTAGCCAGAGCAAATTTGTATTAATTGGCATAAAAACACAGTCATGTGCTCTAACTGGGGTCTAATGTTGTGGTGGATTAGAGGTTAGGTTTTTATAACTTATTTTTAAATAATATTTTTATCTTAACAATTAAATCTAGCTATCTTTTATCTAATTAAATATCTAAGAATACTTAATGAAAAATACTTTAATCTAGAGTAAATTATTTTCAATGTTTTATTTTTAAATGATATTACAAAAAAGTTTGTATTTAATTTTCATTATAATTTTGTTACTTCAATTTTATCTTATATTATATATTCACTCAAGGTAATGTCTATAAAATGTAATTATCTTTATTAGTTTGTTGTAACCATATATATCTGAAACATTCTATCTAAAATTCTTTACTCGGATATCACAAAAATACTCTGTAAGTCTTTTGGTTTCACCCATCTACCATTTTGGATCCCATAGAATCATGCTTTTTTCATTGGGATGAAATCAATATCTTTGGGTGCAATACTTCTTTGTTGAAATGATGGGGTGGGTTAAGGTAATTATAACAAGTTTTTACTAGAGATTTCATGATACTTTAAAATCAAAAAATTAATTGCATGTTTGTTAAAAAATCATATTTAAATATATATTTTCTCATAAAATTCTGTTATACTTAGCTTTTTATTATACTAGATTTTATTTTCATAAATGAAATTATTTTTCCAGGTCATAGTGTTATAACAATATTGCCTTCTATTTCAACAGAAGGATTAAACAAAGAAAATTTGTCAGACCTTATAGATAAAACTAGGTCTGTAATGAATGATGTTTTCAAAAACTCAACAGAAGAACTCAAAACTAAATATAATGAAGTTAGCTAAGTCTGCATTGGTTCATTTCTTGAGAGTATTGACTTATGATTTAGTGTAAGAGCTTGATAATTTAACCAATAAAACTATAAGTTAATAAAGCTTAATAGTTTTATTTTAAAATAAATCACTAACAGTATTTTTGACAATAATTTATTCTAATGAAAAAATTATATGTATTATGAGTATAAATCTTTAAAATAGTAAACGTAAATAATTAATACTTAATTAACTTTTTGTTACAAATAAACTGTACTTTTTTATATATTCAGTAATATTTAGTTAATGATGTCTATGTTTTTCAATTTGTGAAAATTCAATATGTTATTGATTACAAATATTTTGTTGTAGGATAAAATAAGTACAAAATTATTCTTATTTTTTAATTGAAAATACAAAATGTAAAGAAGTAGTCATTTTGATAACAGTTCTATTCTTGTAAAATTTTATGAACTTTAAATTTTAACTTTATTTTTCTACTTGTATCACTGTGTGATAACTATAAAAATATTTTTGAAATAAAATAAATTGCAGTTTATTTGAGTTATTATTTTCATGTTGATCTTAATTTTTTTTTTTTAGGGAATACATTTTTTTTTTACTTCTGAGTTATGATTTAAAATTGTATTAAGCAATATTTAATTAATGATGTATTGTTTTTTCCAAAATCCTTTCAAATATTACATTTAAGTAAAAATGTTGTAGCTGCATTAATCTACGAAGGGACTTGCACTCCTCGAGCTTCCGCTTCATATATTTAATTTATATATAACAATAAGGTTGTTAAACGCCTTATTAATTTGATTAACTTTTTTTTTGCACATAAATTATTTTTTACTCATCAATTTTTGAAATGTGCTTTTGCACATTTCACCTAGTCAACATTTTGAAGTGATAACTTCTTATTAGAGGGTAAATAGCTTCATTACGTAACGCGTTACAGCGCCAGTCTGTCTGGCTTCCCTTTCTCTCACGCATACGGCAGTGGTCCCCTCTCTCTCTAACCTACAGCGCTAGTCGTATTTCGGACAGACGCTTCTCCCTCTCTCTCTCGCACGGTCACGAGCTCTATCTCTTTCTCTCTGCGTGCTTTCACTGCCTACATCAACGTGCATATGCATGAGTGCGTCGCTGCTGCTGCTGCTGGGCTGTCTCTATAATTTAGTTATTAGTAAATTTAGTAATTTTTCAGTATATCATAGTAAAAAAATAATTATTCGCGTTCTGATAAACATAATTAAAAAAAAAAAAATTGAATATTAAATTAATGAATACATAAAGGAAAATTTTTATTATCAAAAACTCAAAAAATTTTTAATAATATTTTAATAGAACATAAATATTTTTAAAAAGCGTTAATTTCGTTGTAATTCAATAGAATTATACTTATAATTTTTTTTTTTTAGTATTATAATTTAAGTAAACATTTTTAATTTTAAATTAAAAATTCCACTTATTTAAACAAAATTATTCAATAAATTAATCATTATTTTCGCTACTTAAATTTTTTTCAATAAAATAATTATTAATAATTATAATTACATTAATAACATTGTTTAATTAAATTAAAAGAAATTTTGTTAAATTTAAACTTTATTATTTTGTATTACACAAATGTAAAAACTATAATAATTTTAAGTTAATTATAATAGTTAACTACTATAAAAGCCAAAAAAAAATTTGAAATGCTGACATAACATTGCGTCTAATTAATATTGTAAAAAAAATTAATATATTTAAACCGTGGATCAACTTAGATTTTTGCCAGTGTTTTATTGTTGGCGGCAAGTATTCGTTTGGGCTATTCTTAATTTTCAGACGAAGAAATAAATTATTTTTTAGAAAATACAAATTTTTATTATATAATCAAGACGCAATGTTATTCAGAATTCTCGCCACTTAATTTATACTTAATTTAAAATCGATTAATCGTAAAATAGATGTTGATTATTTATTTAGACTTTTCAACCTGCTAACAGGTTGAAAAGTGTCTTAATATTACATAATATTATATTGTATATATTAATATAATATAATATAATATATTAATATTATAATGTATAATATTTTCATATAGGATTACATAATGATACTATGTACATATTCAAAAATTGTAACTAAGAATAAAATATATTTTATAATCAATAAAAGATTTAATTAATAAATAACCTTTCCTTACATTATCATATTAATATGATAAAATAAAATTTAAGTAATAACCTAAGCTAATACAATTTCAGGATATTTTCCAATTATTGTTTCCTCAGGCGTCCTCTTGGTGTCTTCCCAGTTATTTTTCCTTCGAAGATGTTGATTATAAAGTCATTATGCCGGATGATGTATCCGATTAACTTAATTTTTCTTGATTCAATCACCTTCCTAGACCGATCTTATCCAAATTTAGACCGGATTAGCTCAGACTGGAATTAAAAAAAAATAAATTTTAGATTTGATCGGGCTTAAAATTTACTTGTATATTTGAGACAGAGCGGACTTCTAAAAATAAAATTGGGATCGAATCGGCCCGTATTTTTTAGTTCTTAAACTTAATCTTTGATATATGAATGTTGTCAATAGATAGCTACCATATTTTATTTTTATTATGTGCTTATGTTACATTAAAAACTTCAATAATATTTTTATTTTATGATACATATTTTTCATCGTGATTAAGTTATTTATAAAAGTTTTTTTCTACTACTTCATTAACAGATGAGTTGACAGACCTATCTGGAATCTTTCTATAATAGTGTTCTATTATTACTATTACTATAGTGCCTTAAATTATTCATATGACAAGGTTTCTATGAGAGGTGCAATTAATGATTATAATTTACTGAAATGATAATTTTATAATATAGGCCAGTCAACAAAGGAAATATTGCGGAAAAAATTCCCAACCAAATTTTTTTTTTTTTTAAGTTGAATTAAGATATGTATAACTACATACTAAAAGTCCTCATTGATTGGAATTGAACTTTTTTTTACAGCCTCGCAAAAGTTCAAAAATATGAGCTTTTTTAATTTTCTTAAAAAATATTTAACTTACAAAAAATAGTTTCGTACAAAAGTCGTTTAAATGACAATTCTAAACAAAAAAGGTATCCTATATTTTTTCATTTAAACAAATAATATTATGGTAATCTTTTTATTTTTCTTTGCCTTTATCCCAACTACTTGGGGTCGGCCATCCTTAATTTTTTTCCATTTTCTTATTCATTTTCCCATTATAAATTTTAATAGAATAGATCTTCAACAAAAGTACAATCTTCTTAATCTTTAATCTTTATTTCTATTGAATTTGTACGCATTGACCTTTGCAATGTACACATATAATAAATCATTTAAGCCCTGTTTTTCGACAGCCACAATTTTTATCAGCTCTAGCACTTGACTAAAGGCTGTTTTATGACAATTATCTTTATTATTACCATAAATACCGGTGTCAATTGACATAATATAATTGTTGTTTGGGAGTGTACAATTTAGCGTTTAGTTGGGTTTAAACAATATAGCGTCAAATCAATTACCTACTCTATCGGTCTATGCATTTATAAAATTGTGTCTAATGTAAGTATAACATGATAAAAAGAAATCATAAAATGAAAAAATGGAAAATAAAATAGTACTCATATTAAATGTAATGTAACTCGAAAAATATTTGTTTAAATGAAAAAATATAGGATACCTTTTTTGTTTAGAATTGTCATTTAAACGACTTTTGTACGAAACTATTTTTTGTAAGTTAAATATTTTTGAGAAAATTAAAAAAGCTCATATTTTTGAACTTTTGCGAAGCTGTAAAAAAAAATTTCAATTCCAATCAATGAGGACTTTTAGTATGTCGTTATACATATCTTAATTCAACTTTAAAAAAAAAAAAATTTGATTGGGAATTTTTTCGCTGTACACCAAAATTACTCCTTCGTTGACTGGCCTAATAAAATAGTTATCATAAATAGCTTGGTCAATGTTAACAATTTCTGAATCTGGTAACTACAAACGATTGATAGAATTTTTTTTTTTTTAATTTTGTAATTTCACACTAAATTCAAATAAATAAATAATTTATTACATAAATTAAATACAATAAATACGATCACAAAATAAGTAATTAGTTAGCATATTTAAGCTATACAAACGGGGAAACATGAACACTATTCAAGTGTCTCATTATATTTTGATATTTTTAGTAATTTTCGTCAGTATTAAAATTTTTTGAAAAATATTTCAAAACTACGCTATGGAAAAAAATGGCAATTTCAAAAACAATTTTTTACATTTTAAAACTGTTAAAACATTGTTTTTTTAACACTTGTGAAATTTCAATAAAGTATACTAAAAACAATAAGTTTTATTTTGGTATGATTTTCATGAAAATCCAATGAAAAACTAGAAGTAAGGAAAGTATTTAAAAGAGACCACTATGGATGACAAAAAAATGTTTTAACTCAATTTTCGAAAATGTTTTGGAATATCTTCCTACTTTTAACATATAATAAATTAAAGTGTAAATTTTAATTTTTTAGTGTATGAACTTTAATATTAAAAAAAAAATTTATTCAACAATTATTCTCCTATAAGTCTGTAGTCAAAGCATAAAATTAGTAATTTTTACTAAATAATTTATTTTCAATTTTTAAAAATGTTCTGAAATGTCTGACATAATAAAACATTTACTTAATTAAAGTTCATTAAACGTATGCTATTATTTAAAAAAGAAAAATTTGTTAACGTTTACTATGACAAAATGATCTCTGAAGTCAAAATTTCCATAAGTAATGATTATAATGTAAGGCAGTGCTGATCCCAATTAGTTGGGATAATGGCTAAGGAGATGTTGATGATGAATCTATAATGCGCTATATTCAACAAAACATTTTTTAGATTGGCACCAAGTCAGTTTTAAATATAGTGTTATTAATCACTGTTAAATATCATGTAGATTCTAGATGATATAAGTACACCCATACTATTTCAACTATTCTACGTCCCCACCAGTGGCGTATTTTGAATGATTTTTCGGGTGGTGTCCAACTTTTAATGAACCTCATAAACGAAAACTGTAGAAATGTTTACTGACGTAAAAAAAACTTACTATTTTTCTAATTACTATTTTAGGAATTGACAAATAATTTGAAATTTGAAATTTTGGTACTGTTGTATCTTAAAAGAAACAACCCTAGTGTCTTAACTTAAAGTAATAAAAGTTTAATAATAACTCAAATGTATTTATTATAGATATAATTAAACAATGCAAAACATACAAAATAAATATACACTAAAAACACAATAAAACAATACACAAAATGAAAACTTAATGTCATAAACGTACCGCGCGAAAAGAGATTACCTTCGGTGCTCCTGAGGTCTTCTCTCCTTTACGATTCATTCCATTTCGTCTTATATACTAAAATATTTTGTTTTTATTCTTTTTGAAAAATTAATAATACTATCGTTTTCAAAATTGTTTATAAATATTTAATTCCTGGTCTAGTAATAATAGATCAGGAAATTACAATTAAACAAAACATTACAAAAATGTTTTACTTCCAGCTTTACAAATGATAAACTATATTACAGTATACAGACTGATTTTTTTATCATAACCCACTCATTTACTTGTAGAATAAATATAATTTAAACATTATTTTTGGTTTTCTTTAGTTACACATTATTCTTAAATTATTAACTATTTAAAACTTTTTATGTTCATCCCTTATGCCTTGTAAGGGTGTCAACTTTGTCTTTTTGTCTTTTAAATGGGAACACATATTTTGAATATAATAAAATGTTTGGATTTTTAATTAAATAGTAAATGGCATTTGAATTTTTAATATAACTTTATTAGTTTATTAGATATAAACATTTAAAGTTTCAAATTTTTGAGTTAATATACATGTATAATACACATGATGATATGATTACAAATACAGGTAGCTAAATGGTTTATATGATATCAATGTCGCAGTCACGAATTGTTTATTATCAATTATGACTATCATAGATATACTTTCTATATTGTCAGTTAGTGTATTTATAAACTCACAACAATGTCCCTTACTACCATTGATAATAACAATGCTGTGTACCTGCTAATTTCTTTGAAGTTGTTTTAAACAAGGTAACTCATAACTAAATACTTAATTTATAATAAGCAAACAAATAATAAAATCTCCTTTCAGTATTGATGTTCGTAAATTACTTGCTTTTGATGATGTTTCAGTGTCATTCCACTTCGAAATTATAAATAACGATTCAATTAGGTACACAAAAAGCTCAAGAAAATCATTGACAGCATAAAAACGTTCAACTCATTTAGTCGCACATAATTGTTTTAATGATTTTTTAGTTATACATTTTTGACTTTCTTCGATTTGACTTTTCAACACATCTTTTCGCTTTGGGTATATGAAAAAATCTCTAACTTTAGATGTTGTTCCTAATCAATTTCATGTTTTTTGTATAGAAGATGAATAAGAAATAGCAAGGTTTAAAACATGAACAGCACAATGAACAAACGTCGCAAGCGGATAACTATGGTGAATAAGAGATTGAGCTCCGTTAAATTGACCAGACATAGAAGCACATCCATCGTAACACTGTCTTCTAAGGTATTTTGTTTCTACACCAAATGAATGTAAATTTTGAATAATAATATATAAACCTTTTCCAGTAGTACCTATTGTAAGCATAAACTGAAGAATTCTTCCTTGATAATCATATTTTCAACATCTAAATATCGAACACACAAAGTTACTTGTTCGCTTCCACCAATGTCGGCCGTTTCATCAGCAAGTATTTTGAAACATCTTTGGGCATTTATGTTTGTTACGATTTTATTTAAAATAATTTTATTGCAGGATTCAATTATTTCATTTTAAAGTGTTTCACTTGTATTGTTTCTTCAGCTTCCAAAAATGATTTTAAACGGTCATCTCCTTGGCTCTGTATCTTAATATTTCTCTAAAATTTCCTTGATTTTTTTGGATAACTTGTCATTTTCTTGATATATATTGAAGTTACAAAGATAACCGTTATTGTCAAAAAAAAAAACTAAATAATAATAATAACATTAAAAATGCAAATAATAATTAAACCTATAAGGTAGTGTGATGGTGTCACGTTTTCATAATCGTGAGAATTATTTTAATAAAATACAGACAGCACATCCGCTGCCTGAGACTGATGAATTAACAAATAATATTTATTGCCAAATCGGCAATAAGTATAATTATTATAAAAACCCAATAGACCTGACCATCGTGGTCAGTCGACTCCAGTGCCTTGTGTCATTCATCAGTCTCAGTACTCGGTTGTCGCTGTCCGGCTTACTGTTTAAAGTAAAGTCTTTGTTTATTCCTTTTCTAACCTATATACTCTTTTCCTCGACATTTCAGAGTACTTGTGTCTTGCACTTCGTCTGCACCTCGTACTCTGTTATCTTTCCTCACCTGGTACGCCTAGTATTTGTGTCTGGCACTTCGTCTGCACCTTATACTCGGCTACCCCGTTCTCTCTCTGAAGTACTTGTGTCTTGCACTTCGTCTGCACCTCGTACTTCATTATCCTCTCCTAATAACTAAAGTACTTGTGTCTTGCACTTCGTCTGCACCTCGTACTTTGTTATACTCCTTATCTGGTACGCCCAGTATTTGTGTCTTGCACTTCGTCTGCACCTTATACTCGGCTACCCCGTTCTCTCTTTGGAGTACTTGTGTCTTGCACTTCGTCTGCACCTCGTACTTCATTGTCCTCTCCTATACCCCAAGTATTTGTGTCTTGCACTTCGTCTGCACCTCATACTTTGGGCTCCTTTTGCGTACACCTGGTATTTGTGTCTTGCACTTCGTCTGCACCTCATACCTAGGTGTTACTCTTATTCTCCCTTCCTATAACAACAGCCTTTCGACACCCACAGCTAACCCGGAGTGTCAGCCGAGCACGGTGACTGCTGTACGACAACACGCACGTGAATACCTAGACAGCAGGCACCACCTCCTCATATTCATCTTCGTACACACAGTTACACATTTACACCTTTCACACTTTTACCCTAATATCATTTTTACTTTTTACTGTGTTACGACAGTAGTTAAACCCTAAAGTTATTTTCGATTAGTTAAAGTCGTTAAAATTAATTCATATCTCCTGTTATTTTCTTTTATCAGAATTAATATGTCATTAATTTAATTATTAATTAAATTGTTAAACTATATTATATATTCAACTTAATAAATTTTTATGTTAATTATAATCGCATGGCATGATGTTTTTTGTTAATAACTAAATGGTAATAGCAATTTCACATAGGCAAAATTTTTAATAGTTGCAAGAGAATAAATCCAAACGTTGATATTTTATTTCATACAGATTAAATTTTATATGTATAAATATTCTATTAACCGATATCAAATNTATATGCATAAAAATTCTATTAACCGATATCAAATTTATTCCACTTGAACTTTCATAAAAAAATCTCTATCATTTGTAAATTAATGTAATAAATAAACAAACAAATACAAAAGGTTTTTCTTCAAAATATCTTTAAAATATATATATATAAATATATTTTTTGATAATTCTCTGTAATAAATTCTTAAAATATTGTATTCTTTGACCAATAATACAATTAAAATAAATAAGTATTGTTTATACTAAATTTATTTATACATTTTACAATGGCTTATACATTTTTTTAATGAATTTTCNACTAAATTTATTTATAATTGGCTTATACATTTTTTTAATGAATTTTTACAATTAAGTTTCCTTGACAATTAGATGTAAATGTTGATTTTATCGACATTTCAGTTCACTTCGTTTTTTCCCGTGAAAAATAAACTATCGTCTTGTGTAATTATTAAGATTTATTTAATTAGTTATTGATATGGCAAGTGAAAAAAAAAATTTTGGTCAAACAAATGAATCAAACTTACATAAGGTCATACGCAGAGTTGAAGACATATGGAATCGTCGTTTCATGCATTCCAATTGTGTTTTAAATAATACAAATAAAGGACAAATATCAAAAAAGTCAATTAAAGATGGAAGAATTATCTGTAAACACTATTAAGATTAATAATTAAAATAACAATTTTGAATAGAGAAGAAGTTTTTTAATATAAAATATAAGAAAAATTAATAATAAGTTCTCTTATTCATATATAACAATAATTCAGTCGCTTTACTTTAATTTAACTATTTTAATATTAAAAACCTTTTTCGAAATTGATTATTTAATTAATAATTATTAAAATTATATTCAATTTGCAGCAATTATTAATAAAAATATTTATCCTATAAAAAATTCCATTATTCCAAAAAAACGCACGTATCGAAAAACGAATAAAAATGATAAAATTATTCCAGAAAAATTGGTAACTATAATTATATTAATATATTTATTCGATTTAGCTATGTTATTGGGGTTTGTCTGATTCAAAAATATAAAATAAACTATCAACCCCCTTAATATAAATGCGGTAACATAATGTTTAATATTATTCTGCTATTTTTTCTATTAGATTTTTATGGGAAATTCAATTTTTATCGAAGATAATAATATAATATTAAGTATAGTTTATTTGTTTATTTAAATATCTCTTTGGTTACCTAGAATATGATGCAGCAAAGAGAATTCGGAACACTTTTTCAGAATGAAAAATCTGAAAAATATAAAAATGAAATTTTAAATTCAACAGAAAAAAAAAATATAGCAATTTCAAAAGACAATCCGCTATTAATATCAGCTGATTTGTTAGAAAAGGTATATTTTATTATGCTTTATTTCAATAAAAAGATTATAGGGTATACCCTAAACCATTTTTTGGACTTAAAGTAGATTTCTTAAATAAATTTTTCATATAATTAAATATATTTTNCTTAAATAAATTTATCATATAATTAAATATATTTTTATGATCTGTTAAGAGTTTTCATAAGAAAAATTTGGAACGCAAATCCGAAATAAAAAAACAACTTTTTGAGATATCTTCTAATACTACTGCTCGACCAAATTTAAAAAGAAATTCATCCGAAGAAGATGAAAAAGTCATAAAAAGTATACAACTTTTAAAATATAATTCATTTTTAAAAAATAATATAATAAACGTTTTGATTTTTGAAACAAATGTAATATTTTAAAACATAAATTATTTTAGAGCCAAAAATTAGTTCGAATCTTTTGACCTTAAATACGCCGAATGACGTAAATTTACTTGCTCTGTCCACTATTGAAGTAATAAAAGTACCAGAGAAAGAAAAAGGTAATTAGTTATTTAATCTATTTATTTTATGTAAAATTAAATAAAAAAAGATTATTTATTAAACATAATTAATTATAATAATACGAGTTAAATTAATATAACTTCTGCAGAGGCTTGTCATTAAGGGGGTCCATGGACGTTTTAAACAAAAGTAATTATACGTGTTTAATTTCATATTCCAAAACCTTAAATAAACCTAACTAATTGTAAACTGTTCAACAAAGTTTTTTATTAATTTTATGAAAAATGTTTAAATATGGTTACATTTGCAGAAGTAATACAAGATCAGAACACAAAATCTCTTGATCAGTATAATGCACCTTCATTTAAATCGCCCACATCTTGGTATACTTCAGACACAATTAATGAGTATATTAAAATGATTGTAACACGGTCAAAAGGTGAAGTCTATGCAGTTGTCACTGATTTTATTGTAGCGTATCTTCGAGGAGGTTATCCAGCTGTAAGAAGATGGATAAAAAAAGATATTCACACAATAAAATTACTTTTTGTGCCCATGAATGTATATGGGAGTCATTGGATATTGACAGTGGTTAATATACCTGAAAAGACTGTGACATCATATGATAGTCTTAAGTCGTATAAGGGTCCTTATCCAATGGTATTAAAAAATTTCTTAATTGAATGGGAGATGGACAAAAAAGGAAAAGCTTCTACATGGACATTACAAATAGGCGAGACATCTCGCCAAACCAATGGACATGATTGTGGGCCATTTACTGTTGAGCTGGCAGAAAAAATGTCTCGAGTAGATACAACACCAATAAATGCAAATTTTATGCCTTTTATAAGATTAAGACACAAAAATGAAATTATTGCTGGCAAGCTATTCTATTAATATTTTTATGAATGAAATTTTATTTTTGTATTTTATATCAATTTTCTTAATATTCACTATAAATTGAAATTTTTATTTGTATACCACCAAACATTTTTTTTACTTTTTCTATGTTTAATTGTTGTTTTGTTATTTTATTTTAATCTTATTTTTTTTTGTAACATCATTTCATTAAAGAAATTCAAATTTAATATAAATTTATCTTAACTGAAATAATTTAATGTTCTTGTTATGTGAATATACAAA